GGGGAGGTCAAACAAACCTTTGATTTGTCTCGGAAGAGTCGACATACAGGCGAAGGTTGAGGAAGGTCACAGCGGCACGTGTGACGTCACGTTATCGCCGAGATCTGAGCTGATGTGGGTGAGCAGGTCATGTCATTTCCAGCGATATCATAATGAGAACGGAACTTTATCGACATACCGGTCTGGGTTGAGATTGCAATGTAATACCAGCCTGATTTCGCCTGTCCAGCACTGTTAGGCGCTTATATGACAACCCTTTCTTTATCTATGATCGATTTCTTTGCTGATGACTCAATAGACGGAGCACGGAAAGCCTGTTTCCTACTATTCTCAAGCATTTTGGTGGCCTGTTCCATCGCCTCAAAGCTCAATGTGCTAATTTCCCACTTCTACACTGGTTTTAGTGACATTGGGGCCGGCATTATGGTGCCAACGCCTCCAGAAGCACTTCGCAATCTTCAACGCCGCACGGCGAAACACCGCTCAGTTGTGAAATTTTGCACATCCGGAAATACATCTGGAAAAGGTTACAATGGTGGCTGTTTATAGAACACCGGCGGCGAAGTCGCTCATAAGGAGTGTACAAGCGGTAGCCCACCTTGAGCATAACTCGCACCCTCGCTTTCCCACGTTGACTAGTATGTCTGCACAGTCAGACCAAGCACTTGTCTAAGCCTACTCACGACTGTAAGTGGCGTCTTTTCTTGCAAGTTAGCAACCTAACGCTCACACCTTCGTCTTCTAAAGCCGTAGATAGCTATATCAAAATAGCTTCCGTGTGCAAGTACATCATTTGCCTCCCATTTTATCACTCACGCGGCATCTGTCCCTCAGGCTTCGTCGCTTACGAATTACTAATCACCTTCGGAAACGAGATTGATATTGTTTGGAAGAGGCCTATCACTGCACGTTCCGTGCTCCTTGGCTCGGTACGATGGTGTATGCTCCTCGAGGCCGTCGTGGACCTTACGCCGGTAACTGCGAATGTGAGCTTTGAGTGCTTTCACTGTGCAATCTGTGACAATATTTGCTACAGGAGTAAGGGCAGCTTGTGTAAGGTCTGCGGGCGACAGGTTGCTTACTGAAACCCGATATATAGCTGTATGCCGATTGATACCCTGGGTTGGGTACTCGCCCTCATTCAATTCCTCCAGACCGCACGTATGCATCACGCAGTCCAATCAAATCAAAAACATCCACTGAGTTCACTATGCCAGTTTTTTCCGCCTTGCGCGTCTTTGCGGTCTGGGATAGGAGTTTTGTCTGGTCGTTGATAACGTTCGCACTGAGCATGGTGCCGTTTGCGGCGAATATAGTGCGTGTCACTGATGATTGAACCTTGCATATGCTCTATTATATGCTTCCATGCAGTACAATGCGGTAATGACAAGGTACGGGCTCGGTGTGGACCCGCTTGTTGGAACAGTATGCGTCGAAGGGTCTCAGATCTCTACACGAACATATATCATGTGGGTGCACATATCTTGCCGATTTATTTCCAGAACAATAATTTTGCAATGTAGACGTATGTTACGCGGTCAAAGACTTCTAATATATTGCAAGCACTGATACTACTTGCTCACAGTCTTGTATATCACACGCGTCTCCCTCATCCTTGCTGACGCTATTGTGCTCGTTCTAACATGGATTAAGACGTTCAGACACTGGATGAATGCCCGTCGCCTCAAGATGAGGGCGTCGCTAACAACGTGTCTGCTGCGCGATGGTCGGTGATTCTATACGCAACTTCACAATTCCCATTGCTGAAGCCTAGTTACTCATGCAGGAACCATGTATTTCATGTAAGTACAACGAGACAGCCGCATTAGAAGAAATTTCTCACAGGTGACAATGAACACAGAGCTCTACTAGCTGTCAATATAGCCCAGCTAATGACATTCAACGTCTCCGATACGGTGCGTCCCCAACGTGAGTACGTGATCAGATGGCTGACGTCGAGCTTAAGGAGAAATCACTAATAAGTACGGCGATAGTGATTCTGGTGCGCACCCTACGTTTCGTTCGCATTATCTGTAATCATGGACTACCCACGCAGCCCCCGATGCTCATCAGCCGCTTCATCATCAACCTCCGGACGGCCAGCTCGATAACGTCGGACTACTCTACGCACGCGAGCGACCAGCAGCAAGGACAGCCGGCAATGCAGTTCAGAAGGCCAATGGGTCGGTTGGGAAATATTGAGGGAACACTGCAGGATGGCTGGAGCGACGAACCTTGTGATGAAGAAAGTGATGTCGCGGAAGTGGGAGAGGAGGGATGTCATGAGAGTGGCGCTGAAGCGTGAGCCGGCATTGAGTATTGTACCAGACTCCAGAGTGCTATGGTCTGTTTCTATGCGGATATTGAAATTTGTAACTTACGCGAGCAAGATGCCCGAAGCTTATTACGGTGTTTAATGGCCTCAATTCAGTGGTATACCGTCAGAAACGCTGGCACACGAATACATGCATTTCACGGCGGTAGTACAACGTTACTACACAGTAGCGATCTTCAAAGGCAGCCTTTGACGAGCACTTAATCCACTCAGACATCTTCACACAAAATCAACACTATGCGTTCGGGCTCATCTCGCTGGTACTGTCAACATGATCAGCTGCAGGATGTCTAGTGCTCTGAGATATCGCTCACAGTATCAGTTAGCATTATCGGTTATGATGGACGGCGTATTCTGCGCACGCCGTCCGGGTCTGGCCATAATCGCAGGAGCACAAGTGTTCATAGGTAGCCCATAAACTGGAATAGTCCACATAAAACTAGAATCTCAGTGAACATACAGGAAGGAAGCCAGAGGTATGTTGCACTGAAGCATATGACTTTGGTGGCACTAAACGTGGATGCAAAAAGCAGCATTCGAGATTGTCAAAAGTAGAATCAAAAGGGGCATAGAGATTGTACTCCCAGTTAATGAGAACTACCAGCGCGTCGGAGATGCCTGAAACTGCTTTGTCTACAGAAGACGTCCACTGAGCTCCCGTTTCTCGCTGCACAGGCATCTACCCAGATCCTACGCCAACGCCTCACGCGGCACGCTCGTTCTGTGTGCGGAATTAATTGAACGTAGAACTCGTGCGGCTTAATTGTCGGCGGCTGCCGCAGCTACAGGCCGTACGCCAGATCACGCATGGAGAACGTGAAGCGCTGTATCAGGTAGACAAGCGTGACTTGGGCCTCCTGCCACGCGAAAAATTGGCCCTGCGCGGCATGTCAGCGAAGCACATGGAGGTATATGACAGGTAGTGCGTACGATGCAGGCGCACGTGCCGAATCAGAATGACTGCCACCCGTCGGGCTGGCGCGGTAGCGTATGAGCGTGCAGCCGGCGCAGTCTATTAGAGGAGCACACGCACCGGGAACTTCTCGACTCTGACGTTGAGCATCCGATCGGGCCGGAACTCCTCTGCTTGAGACGAACAGCATCAGCACGCGGCCACGGAAGCATAGACGGAGCGTACGCACGTCCTCGTCCCACACGCATGGGTCACGCGGCGAAGGGATGAGGATGATCATGATTATTCCGCAAGATGCTGGTGGTATAACGGATGTCTTAAGCAGTTCTTATACGCGACTTGGGGCCGTGCCATAAGGCGACGCTCGTCCACCAAGTCCGAGAACCTCCGAGAGACGAGCGAGTCAG